CTTTTGTTGGGAGTGCGGTGCTCGACCGCTCCGCGGTGCCCCTGCTCCGCGCCTCGGCTCCGGGACGTCCCTGGTTATTGATCGCCCAAAACTGCTAGCTCGCCGGACACAGATGGAGGCGGCTATGAGCGGGCGGGCTGGAGAAGTCCGAAAGCACCGCGTGGCCGATGAATTTGACCTCTTCTTGCTGTCGTATTCCGGCGGTGGCAAAGGGTGGGTTCACGCTTCCCCAGATGATGTAGTCGATTGGTTTAGCTATCTCGACTCCCAGGGCAAGGGGACGAAGTTGGTTCACGATGCCACGTGTGCGGGAGTGGGGTCGAGCGATCGCCGGAGCTGCTCCCCGGGCGCGACGTGCAAAAAGCGATACGGCGCCGAGTCTCTCCGCAAGGGTTTCTACTCTAAGCTAAAGATGGCGTATAAGGAACAGCTGGGTAGAGGGGATGACTGGAACCCCACCGTGGGGTCGGGTAATCCGTGTGCGAGCCCGACGGTGGACGCGTACCTCACGTTCACCACCGAAGAGCAGAAGCGGGTAGGAGTAACCGCAAAACAGGCAGCACCCCTTCTGGAGGACACCCTCGGAGAGTTGCTGCCGCACATGCGTCTGAGAGCGCTCGCTTCCGACTCTATGGCGGAACGCATAGCCATCACTCGGGATGTTGCCCTTTTCTCCCTTGCACACCATTCTATGCGTAGGGGGTTTGACCTCTCCTTTACGCTGGGGTCGCAGGTACTCCGGCTGCCGGAGTCGCGGGGGTTCATTTTCAACTTCCTCTTCGGAAAGACGTTGCGGGCTTCGACCGAAGCCATTGTCGTGCTTGCTAGCACGAACCGGGACGTATGTGCCGTCAGAGCAGTGGCGGAGTACATCCTAGCCGCACAACAGGTAGGGTGGGATTTGTCATCGGGCTACCTGTTCCCGTCGGTCCTGGACGATGGTAGCCGGGGGAACTCGAAGCTGGTGGCGACCCAGATGACATCGTCCCTGCAGGCGCACCTCAGAGCGGCCAGCCTTCCCGCCCATTTTTCCATGCACTCGTTCCGAGTGGGGGGGTCGTTGAGTCGGTCCATGGGGGGCTCCGCCATAGAAGAGATTATGCAGATCGGGGGTTGGAAAACGGAGTCCATGGCGAAGTACTACGTAGAGCCGTCTTCCAAACGGCAGCGGGCAGCTAATTATACGGCCACCAACGAGGAGCCGTTATCGCCAGCGTTCGAAACCGACTTCGCTGCCTGTGTTCGCCGTAAGCTGGCTTAAGTATCCTCGTAGCGGAATACACGAAAGTTTGGGTGAATCAACCAGGTTCCAGGCCAGTGGCCAAGGACAAGACACGGCTAGGAAAGTATGGGTGGGACCACGGGCCGGAGCTGGAGGCCTCATCCCAAAAATCCAATACTTACATTAAATGATCCTAGGCCAAGAGCAAAAATACAACAGAAAATAACACCTTGCGAGGCTAGCCTACTGCGCAAAACAGCAAATCTCCCGAAGTATTCTTGGGGGGTCTCTCCTACTTTCATCTCAAGACCGTGGTATTGGGATGACAACCTTTCTTTCTCGGCTCTGGCACGCGGCTCGTAATAGTTGAGGAATATTTTCCAACCTCCACTTGGACTACCATCAGCGATGATCTGGGTGAGGATAGGCATGTATGTTACAAACGTGATCAGCAGGTTCCACGCCGTAATTGCCGTTTCTACGCTGTCACTCTAGTGCAACCTACGCAGCTCCTCCATTGCTCACTCCTTCTTTTCCGACTGGAATCTTTTCTTCAGTCAGTACCACGTCACGCACTCCTTCCTGCGCAAATATAGCTACCATGTTCGATCGAAAAATCAAAAACTCAGCCTGCTCATCTTCCCCTTGCTTAAAAATCCCATCCCAAGGCGCTAGGCGCTGAACCTCTGTCATGCGAATACTTCCTCCTGTACTGGGTACACTACCGATGTCCCGTGGTGATATCTGCATTCGCTGGACATGGCGTCTGCGAGAGTGCGGGCGATGTCATCTACGGCCGGGTTCGCCGATGGCCGCCCCGCTTGTTGCTGGTGGCGTGTCTCGTGCTCGCTTCCGGTCCGGACGTTCTCTGTCCTCTGCTCCTCCTCGTCTTGTTGCCGCCTCATGTCGGCCAGTCGTTGTTGTACCCTCATCTCCACCAACTCGTTGATGCGGGCGTCCTCGTCTTCTGCGTGACGGGCGCCTCGTTCTTGGTCGGCGCTGGACATCGGTGATAGCTGCTGATCGCCGCAAAGCGATACTCCAAACTATGCTCGACGCGAATCTCGTAGACGACGTGTCATAAGCTAGCGTGAACGATAATTCGGGTGGTTCAGTTGTGTGTGATGGGAGTGTAGAGCAGCTCGGCCATGACGGGCCGTAGGGGTAGGTAAAGTCGTACAGACGTGTGGAAAAACGTGTTGAAAAACGTGGTGTATTAATCGGANGCGATACTCCAAACTATGCTCGACGCGAATCTCGTAGACGACGTGTCATAAGCTAGCGTGAACGATAATTCGGGTGGTTCAGTTGTGTGTGATGGGAGTGTAGAGCAGCTCGGCCATGACGGGCCGTAGGGGTAGGTAAAGTCGTACAGACGTGTGGAAAAACGTGTTGAAAAACGTGGTGTATTAATCGGAGGCGTGCTTGAGCTCGTCATTCCATCACGGCATCAAGTCACGCATAACGCTTAAACACCCAAAACGAACCTCCATGAATGTCCACCAATCTACCACACTCCCAAGGAAAACAAAAAGAAACTACGTTCCTCCGTAGTTCGTCACTGCAAATCCCGCATATGTATAAGCAAAATACCACCCCCATGCTATGCTACGAGTATATCGAATAGCATCTACATCTCTCTCGATGGCACACCCATCAAACCATTGACACTCTCCAAGGTTGTTGGTGGGAAATTTTTTGTTGAGCGAAGCAAGCAACTCCTCGCAATCCTCGTCAGACCCAGCCACCAAAATGTCATCCACGTAAATCACGATAATCATCACCACGACTTGGTCTACCATCTTGCGGAAAACACACGGGTCCGCCTTGCATTGCTCGAACCCGTTCTCGACTAGCGTATCAGCAGCGTGGTACCCCCACTGCCTACCGCTCTGCTTCAGACCATAAACCGCACGCTCAGCCTTAACAACCTTATGCGATTTGTCCCCGCACCCAGCGGGGAGCCTCAGAAAAATCTCCTCGTCTAGCGTAGCGTGTGTATACGCCAGCTTCACATCCCAGTGATTGAGGTTCATGCCCTTCTCGTTCGCTACTGCAAGCATCAGCTCAATGGATGCGGATGAGGGGCAAGGGGAAGACGAATGGAAATCGACGCTCGGGATTTGCGAAAACTCCCTTGCAGCCAGACGCGCTTTGAACTTGTCTATCTTCCCTTCCTTGTTGGTCTTCCAACAAAAACACCACTTTGAGCTCACAGGCCTACGCCCCTCTGGCGCACCGTCTACGAATGAAAACGTCCCCGTGCCCAAGTGCCTTTCAAACTCTTCCCTCATGGCCTGTTTCCACCCCTCTGGGTAAACAGACTTGACAACGCCGGCTACAGTCATGGGTGGGGTTTCTACATCACTCGGATGCTTGCCAATAGGGGATTCACTTAGCTCGTGGGACGTCAGGGCCGTCTCGAAGGCGTCTGGTGAGTTGAGCATGAGGTCCACCGTACCCAGCAGGAAATTCTCCGCCTCTTGACGCGCAGCGTGGGCCTCATCCGCGTGCTCGGACAGCAACTCTCGCACCACCCTCGCCTCTAGCCCCTCCGGCACGTGAAGTACCGCTGAGAGCATCCAGCGGGTGAACTCCTCCGTGCTGCTGTCGGGCAGGCTCGCCACCGAGGCGAGCAGGGCTTCGGCACTTGTCGGCGACGGGGCCGATGTGGGCGGCGACGGGGGCGACTCGTACCTCGGATTTCGGCGAGGGTTCTCCCTAGTGCGGCGGCTGGTGAGTTCCGCCGGCTTGTCGAAGCGGGCGAGCCGCCGGGCCTCTGGCCCACAGAGCGCCGGGAGATCCGTCTCGCTGTCGNGATGGGGCGACGCTCGCGCCCTCCCTGCTCGAGGGGGCGCCATCGCCAGCGTCGCCCGCGCCCGACTCCTGGGACGCAGCCGGTGGCGCCGCCGGCGCTACGCGGTTGAAACCTGGTGCTCCATCCACAGGTTTTCTCTCCGCCCTCCCTCCGCCTTGGCTCGACGCGCCCTCCCCAACCTCGTCCTCCTCAGTCGCGAATTCTTCTTCCTCCTCTGCGATGGGAGGCAGCGACTGGGGCCGGGCGGCGGGGGCGGCGGGCACGGGTTGCCGGGTAGTTGCGAGTTGTGATCGCTTGGCGTTTTTCGTTGAGGATGCGCACGCAATCACGGTTGGTGTTGATTCCCGGGCCGAGGTAAAAACACTTTTGGGCTTTTGGCTCGGACTTGTGTGTGCGCTTGACCTTGTATACGGCAGGTTTGAGGAACGGGTACGTCGCCCCCGGCGGGGGAGGGTGCCCGTGCCACATCTCGTACGGCGACTTCTTCTCTGGGTTGGATGTGGTGGAGGTGCAGTTCAGGGCGTTGCATGACCAAGCTATGGCCTCGGCCCAAAGGGATGGGTAGTTCGGTGCTCCGGGGTAAAGAGTTGGCGCTTGGATACGGGCGGCTAGTGCTGCATCCTTGATCAGACCCAGTGCTCTCTCAGCTACACCGTTGTATTCTGGACTGTGCGCGGGGGTGAACTCCTGTTTGATGCAGTACTTCCGGCACACCCTGCCGAACTCTCCCTCCAAAAACTCTCCTCCGTTGTCAGATCTCACGACCATGACATCGGACGGGACACCGCCTGCCCGGTTTTCTGCAAGGTACNGAGGGTGCCCGTGCCACATCTCGTACGGCGACTTCTTCTCTGGGTTGGATGTGGTGGAGGTGCAGCTCAGGGCGTTGCATGACCAGGCTATGGCCTCGGCCCAAATGGATGGGTAGTTCGGTGCGCCGGGGTAAAGAGTTGGCGCTTGGATACGGGCGGCTAGTGCTGCATCCTTGATCAGACCCAGTGCTCTCTCAGCTACACCGTTGTATACTGGGCTGTGCGCGGGGGTGAACTCCTGTTTGATGCAGTACTTCCGGCACACCCTGCCGAACTCTCCCTCAAAGAACTCTCCTCCGTTGTCAGATCTCACGACCATGACATCGGACGGGGCACCGTTTGCCTGGTTTTCGGCAAGGTATCTCTCGAATGCCTCAGCTGCGTCTGATTTGTGCTTCAGGAAATAGACACGGTTCCACCTTGTGTAATCATCCTTGACAATGAGAGTGTACCACTTTCCCCCCAAGCTCTGCACCCTAGCTTTTCCACTCAAATCAACGAAAACTCGCTGCAGTTCTTAACTGCTCGGGTCGACGTCTTGTTGGGGATGGGCGTGCTAAGCCCCTTCGCCGTCGAGCACCCCAGGCACTCCCGGAGCTCGCCCACCAGCGTCGTCCCTTGCTGCTTCGCCGTGGTCCTCAGCAGCACCTCGTGGGAGTGGCCGTGCGCGCAGTGGAAATCGTTGATGTCAACGGGGGTGCTGGGCGCTTTCGCGTTGCCAGGAGCAATTGCGGCACAGGCATGTTCGGTGTGTGTGCGGAAACCGTTTTGGACGTACAGGTTACCGCATCGAGGGAAGTACACCACCTCCCTCCCCCCACTCTCCAACTCCAACTCGTGTTTGTCTAGGGTTTTGTTTTCGAACCCGTCGTCGAAGAGGGAAGTGAGAGATGGTAGCTTGTCGTCTAGTCGGGGAACGTGTGCAACCCGTTTCAACAACAGGTCGGTTGTACCGTCGCGCGAGCTAAGGGTTACCGTCACGTCGCCATACCCTACGATAGGGAAGGTTTCTCCGGCGGCGACGCGCACACGTCGATCACACTCTTCGTAACGAACGAACCCATCTGAGTTCGCGAACATGTGGGTGGTAGCGCCGGTATCGGCAACATACCTACCCCGCCTAGCCTGCTCTACACCCCCTCGACCAACGACTTTGTGACACTCGCCTGAGATGTCACCGACCACCAGCGCTTCTTCTGCCACGTCCAGTGCTGTGGCGTCCGCAGACGCCCTCCCCGCCGGCACTTCCACCACGAGCACCGCCTCTTCGGTCGGGCACTTGCTCTTGTCGTGCCTGTAGCCCTTGCATGTCTCACATCGCACCGGGCTTGCTATCGGGGCAGTTTGCCACCTGGTGGCCCTTCTTGCCGCACCGGAAACAGCCACCGCGCATGCTACCCGCATCGTCGTCGCCGCCTCCGCCGCCGCCTCCAGCCTTCGCGCCACCCCCTCTCCCCTTCTGGTTGCCGCCGCCGCCGCCGCCACCCTTGCGGCGGCCGCTGTTGCCGCGGCCCGGCGCTCCTCCCCCGCCGCCACCGTCACTCGCGAGGAGAGCATGCTCCGCCCTACGCTGGCCCTTCGAGGCCTTCCTTCCCTCCGGGAGGCTCGCGTGCACCGTGCTCACGATCCTGACGATCTCGGCCCTATCCAGCGCCGTTGCTGTCTCCAACAGGAACTTCGCTTGTTGGTACTCGGGTGGGAGGGAACCAACGAAGTGGGCGAGAACGAAGGGTTGTTCAGCATTGAGCCCCTTTTCGCGCAGGCGGGCATACAGCAGCTCGAGAGAGTAGAGGTGCTCGATGGGGTTGCTGTTGCTGTGTGTGGGGATTGCAAAGTCGAACATCTTCCGCATCAAGGCCTGTTTTGACCCCTGTGACTCCGGATCGTAGACCTTTTCCAATTCCGCAAGGACCTCTTTCGCTGACGTACAGTTGCTGATAATTGCTTTGTCAGCTTCTTTTACCACAGCAGTAGTGATAAAGTGGAACGCCTGAAGCCCCCGTTGGACTTCTGCTCTCGTGTACCCCCTACGGAGCAGTTCGGAAGTGGGCAAGTTTGGGTCGCCCACGGGGATACTGCTCTCTGCATCTCCTGTAAGCTGCCCGTCCAAGTCGATGGCCTTCGCAGCTTGGACGAACGATTTTCGCCACGAGTCAAAGCCGTGGCTACGGCTTTTTCCGTCTAGAAGCGGGGCATTGACTGTTACCCTCTTCATGTGGCTACTGCTGTAGCCGTCGAGGAATTCTCCATTCTCTCGAATCACGGGTATCTCACCTGGGGGGTGTAACCCCCTCGCTTCCCCGCAGTCCGGTCCTATGCCCGGGCCCACTCCGGCTAGTCCAGCAGGGTTCGCTCCCGATCTACTGGCCCAGCCGCCTTCCAGCAGCGGCCGTGGTCCTTGCCCACTATCTCTCGTTTGCTGCTGGAGAAGTCCCCCGCCACCGACGAGCGGCAGCGTGGGCTCTTCCCGTTGGCCTCTGGGGGCAGCGACCCAGCCACCCCTACTGGCTGCATCCGCCACGACCCTGCCACGCTCCTTCTTCTTCACCGATTCCTCCACCAGGGCCGCCAATTGAGAAATCTGCCGTTGCAAGCTTGCAAGCTCCGCGTCGCGGCCCTCCTGCACCAGCGGGTAGATCTGTTCTCCGCTCGCAGCAGCGCGCTCTTCGTCTCCAGCAGAGCTCATCCCGATGTGGCTTCCCTCGAGGGGCAAATTCTAGAGTGTTTGCGGCCTACGCCACTTATTTATCGGGTGAAACTGTTTTGGTGATGTATTAACTTCACGAGAGGTCGACGACCGTCCTTCACACGGACGAAAGAGGGAGTGCTAAAAGAGCGGCTCCCACAGCAAGGAGGGGGCCCGTGAATCATCGCGGTGCCCCCTACCGAACGGTAATCTTACCAGTCTGCGTGACACAAAATCATCCAGCACATGTATCCAACAACAATGTTCGCAGACCCACGAACACATGTCAAACGTACACGTCGAGGAGGACGTGTCCAGTGAAGAGGAAGGCGATCACGGTAGGCCAATCGTGCATAAATCTACGATTTCAGAGGGCGAGGTTCGCTCTCGTCTCGAAGATGTCCGCTCTTACTTGACACACATGGAAGAGACGGCGAGTACAGCGAAACGGCGTACCTTCTTTCGAAGACTGTGCATTCGTTTACTCATAAATCTCAGGTCAACCGAAGAGCAAAGGAGGGGGGGGAGGTGCAGGCGACTCTTTGGGGGGATATGTGGCGGGTGTAGTTTTTGGTTTCGAGAGCAAAGCACTTTTATTGCCAACGTTCGTTGTTTGCCTTGGATGAAGTCTCGTGAGGTTGAATTTGGCGTTTGTGTTGTGTTGTGCCTCGTTTTGACCTTTTGGGAGGCGCGGTGTCCTCTTTGTCGCTGTGCTTTCCCGACATTTTTGGTCTCTGTGTTTCTGCGTATCCTGCGTTTCCTAGGGTCGTTTTTCAACCTTCGATATTTCTCAGGTGCGGTGGCGAGATCTTGGGCAAGATATTCACGGGGAGGAGGACAACGCCCAAAAAAAATAATAAAGCAAATAATTAAGCCCACATCAACACCAGCGCACTACCGTCGTGTACATGTACGATGCGTAGGTCGTGGAACACCATCGCTTTCAGCGTATTGGTGGTACAGTACGGGGAAATTCAAACGATGGTATGCAAGTATTGTAGCACAATAGCAGCAGTGGTTGCGACCTTCAAATCACCTTGTGTCTTAGGTTTCAAACAACACCTACCTCTTGTGGTCGCCTTTCTGCTGCGAATGCGCACCTTTTGACATATGTTTCGCCTTCATTGGCCCCGGGGATGGTGCGTTGGTGGCCCCTGAATTTGAAAGACACTTCCCCGCGTTAAAGACACTTTTTTGGGGGGAAAACGTGGTGTGTCTTTAAAGCGTGGTCGACTGTACTTACCGCTAGCCGACGACTTTTTACCTGATTTTTTTCACCCACCACGATGGAGGACGACAGCAGCACAGCAGCAGCAGCGACGAGCGGAGTAGTTTCGGGAACACAAGAACGACGAAGAAGAGGTAGTCACGACCAAGAGTCTTCAAAGAGGAAATCGGGTGAGTGTCCAATAGCGTCCAATAGCAAATATGCTACAGTAGCTCCTGTTTGGCACAGCCAAAGTGATCAGGCAGGCCTTCACGAACGGCTGAACTTTTAATTTTTGCGGATCGACTGATGCCGGCCAGACAGACACGGATGCCAGACATTATGGACATATAGAACGAATGCGATAGCCCATGGTCGACAACGCACAGCCACATGGAGTTTGGGAAGGTGGTTACATGTACCACAGCTGAAAGCACAGCCTCTGTAGACTCTTTGCAGGTCTATGGACAACACGGCAGCACACGACCACACGTGGCACACGTTGTCAACAAGGCGGCGTAACCTCCGATGCTGCCAATGTGCCGAACCGTCAAGTGAACCCGCTGTTGTCAGATGTAAGTCCACACCCCGCCTTCTCCGCCCCTCCGCCTCCATTGTTTGTTCAGTTTGCGCGGCGGCTAATGTCTGGCGTACTGGGGGAGAATTTCGGCGATGAACCATCCGTGAGAGGCTTAAGCTGCCCGGAGCTTGTGTGGTGAACATGGACGGGAGGAGGCCTTACAGGCGGGTTGCAATGTGAAGACAACAACAACAACAACAACAACAAGGCCAGTCACCATCACACAAGTGACCCAAACACCGCGCGCGGCGGTTTCACGGAACGAGTTTCTACACAGACATACACCGAGCTCCTGACTCTTTACAGTATCATACTCCCTTGATACAGCAAATAGGTTGGCCATACGTCGGTGCTGTCTCTTCGGGAGTGCTGGTGCGTTGGACGGCGGGGTTGGCGTGGACAACCCCAAGACCGTGATTAACGAGGACGCCGCCTTCTTGGCCGGAAGTGCAGAAGTGCAGTGTATCCAACAGGCAAGGATCGACGGCAACAACGTGCGGCGGATTCGCTGTGATAGACGAATGGTAGCCGGCGGGTAGCGAGCAGGGTGTGTTGTTGTGTGGTAGAACAAAAAGTCGCGCAATGGAAACAACTGCAATCAATTCTGACACGCAAGGGCACTCTCTTCGAAAGGATATTGTCAGTTTGACTCAAGAGGCGGGCCGTGTCCTGTCTGTCCGAATCAAGATGAGCTATCTTGGATATCCCCCAAACCAAGAAGATGAGAGAGAAGCACGCAACGAAGCCGGGTTACTAACGCCGTCTAAGCCAGCAGCTTCGGGGAGGGGCGTCAGCATCGGCGAGATACGGAAGGTGGATTTGGTAGGCCAGGCCGTCACCTCATTGGGCCTGGCAGATGTCGTTGAGGCTACACTGGGTATCCCGACGACACCCGCTGCCCCGTCGAGGCACGTTGACGACACGAAGGAACGGAAAGATATGTGCGACCTGTTGCTTTGGTCATTGACCTTCCGGCAGTGCCAGCTGGAATCACTACTGCCTGTGGCAGGCTTACTGCACCACCTGGACGGCTTGATTGGCCTCGGAATTCACGGGACAGATGGGCTAGCCCTGGCTGGGATCGAGCGCGTGCTAGCCGATGCAAGGTGCCTTTGCACGCTCACTATTCGCGACTGTGGCCTAGCACGACTACCTCGCCTTCAAAGTGGATCGATCGAGGTCTTAGACTTCAGCAACAATGCCATTGAAAGCGCGGCGGGCCTAGAGACCCTGTTTCGCCTCCAAGAGCTGAATTTGGCAGGTAACCGCATACGCACACTATCGGATTTACGACCGTTATTGCCACTAGGGACTGGCCGCCTGCGGGAGCTGAACTTGGAAAACAATCCTGTGCAGGATTCTCCAAGGTCAGTACGACTGACGCCTCAATCAAGGATGTGTGCAACATCCAATTGAATCACCTAAGTATCCTCTTGACCAATAAATTGAACGCATACTTGTTGTCGACGAACCCTCAGGCCATTGGAGGGTGTGCTACTTTTCAGCCAAGGGTCACCAACACATCTACTCTTGTAGATCATCCTTGCCGACCGGTCTTCTATGAAAGCCTTTTTTCCCTTCGCCTGTGTTTATGTATGCAGATATCGGGAATCGGTCTTGGCGGTCTTCCCATCTATCCAACTTCTCGATGGGATCGCAAAAAGTCAAAAATGGCGGATGCGAACGGCAACAAAGCCAAACATGTGAGCGAAACGGGGGGGCGGAGGAATACCCCGCGTCTTGAAGAAGACGGCACCGATTTTCAGTCTTGCCAAATTTTGAGCGCTGTGTGTCGTCTTTTATTCACGTGTTCCCATAATATGCCACTGTTACTGTGGTAACAATCGCTACGAATAACCTACCAGAAGGCACAAGTAAGTACGGATGACGCTATTTTAAGCGTCGTTACGGAACGACTAGTCGACGTTGCGCGTCGTGTCTGTGGCAAGCGCCAAAGCTGGTATGGATGCTGGTTGAACCGTGCAGATAGTTGAATGAGCTGCTATAATAATGTTTTCGCTGAGAAATATAATCTTTTCTCCTATTGCGGTTGAGAAGAAAGACGTTGGCAGAGGTCTCCCTGAATGTGACATTTTCCTCGATGCCCTTCATGGGGCTGGAACCGTGCCCCTTTCGCAGGGCGGGGGAGGAAGGTCACAACAGGAGAGCGTGCAGTACACCACCGAGAGTCAGGAATGCCTTCGCGGAAGGATATTTCAGCGATGGTGCGACTTGGAACTCGAGGAGGGCAGGGCTAAAGGAGTATTCCAAGTGCGGCTCGGAAGCCCAAACTAGCCAAGTGGGTCATGTCATGTAGTACTGTGTACCGCTACGAGCAACGCTGTAGACTTGCAAATGTTGATTGAAATAAAATATCTTCTTCGTTAGGGGCGCACCGGTGAAGTCGGAAACCGGAAGCCGGAAGCCGGTCGTGGATGTACGACCAGTTTTGAAGCAAACACTGTGGGTAGGACGACGATGTCATGGCATGGTCGGGATTTCGCATTGTTTCCTGGGGCAACACACTAAGCAACAGGCAGAAGCTTCATAATTCAGTGGTGACAAGCTCGTCCTGTATCATACACGTGCTGAATGGGTTCTCTCCAGCCCTTTTTCGAATAACTCCTCTCAACGTCCGAGGCATGCTGTAGCCATCGACGATAGATGCTTCCTTCTGTCGAACATATTAGAAATCAAGCATATGTGGCCCTCTTTCGCCTACAATTGAGTAGAGCGTTGTTGGTTGCGGTCGTTCTTGATTGTGTTACAGGACGACTTGGACGAGCACCATGGTTTCGTGCGAGGTCTGGCTGGCCTAGGTAAGGATTGAGCCTGCCGTTTTACGTCTTCGACATAGACATATAACTTCAACAGTCCTGTGCGTGCTGCACCCACTAGACGACGTATTCTCTGACCCGGTCCCCATGGAAGCCTTGACCAATATCTATTTTATCCTGCCTGTTGCGTCATACTCAAAAGCCGATCGTGAGGTCCTCTCTCAGCACCCCTATTACGCGTTCTTCGGCCGGAACACGATCGAATTCAACAGGGCTAATTTGGGGTGGGGCACCACGGCCTCGTTCTTCCCCGGCCTGTGGCTCGTCACGTGGGAGTTCATCACCCGCAAGGATACGGACCCCGCGAGGTCGAAGTGCGTTGGTCGGAAGCAGCACTTTGGAGGGTGCACTTGGCGAGCTCCAGCGGTCGGAAGAGCTTGATGTAAAATGGCCATCAGAGAAGAAGCGTTGCCGGGTACCCTCGCCGGAGCGATGCCGTCAAATAGAGGAGGACAACGCCCGGTGAGGCTGTCCGGCGACGCGGTATTGGGACGGAAACCTCTCCACGCTAGATTGCGTTCGTTCTAACCGTTGTACGAACCTGCCACGATTGGTCACTGCTCCAACTTTTGTCACTCCTCCGGTGTACCAGCCCGGACGTTGAAAGCGGCTTCGCAGGACAGTTGTTTTCAAGAAGATGGCCGCCGAGGTTCGATCGTTACATCATTTTGTTTTTCAACAATGATGTACATCACTGGCTCCGTATCAACGTTATCATCTGTTCTCTATCAGGTCACAGCCAAGAATTACCCCAAATTCAAACCCCAGCTGGCATACGCAATTTCATCAACACCAGCAGCAGGAATCGATCGCCAGAACAACCGTACAGGCGAGGGACGCTCGTTTCTCCCGAGATCGGCAAAAAGCATCCATGAGCCGACTGGCTCAGCCTACACGGTAAGACGGACACTGCTCAGCCGGTACATATCCGTGAGAACGCCTTCGCACACATGGTCGCGCGATGATCACGAATGGTAGGTAGGCACATTCGAGCATCGACGTTCTCGATGAAGACCTTGAAGGCCGCATATAAGCGTTGTCTGGGTTGCAGGTATCGGCCAGATGTCAATCGTTTCTGGGTCTGGTGCTTCATCAAAAACCCCCCTACACCGTCAAAGCATGTACCCTCGCCCTCTCGCCTCCCATTCGCTCCAGGCCGCTTCGCCTGGTGGAAAAATCTACCCTTGGGGAGAATCCATCAACGAACAGCAGTGACTCAGACCTGCAAACGTGGAACGCATTATTTAGAGAAGCTATTTTAGCCGAGTCTTCCGGCCTTTTGGATCGCCCCACTGCAGTAAAAGGTCCGGACGGACAATGGCAAGGGGTACCATCGACAAGGGCTCGAGGGAGAAAACCGGTGTTAACGGTCAGCAACCTCCGGGACGTGAGTCCCACCGCATCAGGTGGGGTACGAGGGTTTGATAGATGGATACGATTTGCTCGGCGAAGCGGAACCTCGACCTGCATGGCGTCGTCTTCTAGGATCACTGCACCCTTCTTAAGCAGACCAGTACTGGTGGCCATATGCAGTTATTTGATAGACCTACCTCAATTTTCGGGAAGCTGTGAATGGCGTTTGCTTTGGTTGCCGATAGAAAGAGCAGATTTTGGACAACCTGACCGTGGTGTACTTGTCTCGTTTTCTCTCTGCTCCCGGAGGACGCACGACATCTGAATTTTAGCCGAATCTCTCTGGAGAACACCTCGTATTTTTGATGATTTAGGCAGTCTTGCGTCTCGAATTCAGAATATTCTTTTTATATCGTCTTCCAGAAAGGTTCTCACAGAGATATATGATCATCACATTTCCCTTTCGCCAGGGTATGAAGTCAACGTTAATCAGCAAACAGACTTTCCAAGTTTGGGTGTACGGTCGCCCCGAGAAAGCTAGAAGGTGTTCGTGATGTCACTGCACAAATGTTCCTTCGAGAATGCCGGTCGCCCCGGTGGTCTAGTGGGTAGCCTCGCAGCCTGCCAAGGGCCAGGTCATGGGTTCGAGTCCCGGCAGAGAGAGTTTTTTCTCGCTAAATACATCCTGGTCTAGGATGAAAGCGACGCGCTGCAAAGCTCGTTTGTTAGTACACCATAATCGACTTCGTAAGTCGCGAGGGAAGGGATTGCTGTACCCTTCTCGCGATAAAAATACCTCAGGCATGAACCGCAGGAGGGGGTCCACCCTCCTATGTGACCCCGGTTGGGTCGTCTAGCTAGTAGAAGTGGAGGATAGGGGCCAGAGGGGCAGACGGCAGAGCCCAATGATGGGAGAAAAACAAACAAACAAACAAACAAACTTTCAGCGGAAATCTTGGGCGATATCTGGAAATGTTTCCTGCCAGACGCATCGAAACCTACTCGTTGGCAAAACCATGCCTAGTTTCGGAACACCTCGATGAAAGCTAAAACTTTTGTCGATTAGAGAAGGCTCACCCTGAAGCATGCGCACGGCAGACAGCATAAAATCCGAAACGACGAGAATTTCGCGAGGATGGTACATGGACACTGGGCCCATCGTTTGACGTACTTCTCCTGATGCTCAAGTGGCTTGTTCTCACCATGCTTATTTCTACTTCCCTTGTTGAAAGCAATGGCAACAATACCTTCATTAAGTCGCAGCACGACCGACATCCTTGCTCTTTACCGTGAGGGGTACCAAAAGATGAAATGGAGGCATCACCGTCCAGATCAGCCCGTCCGGAATCGACAACCGTCGCCACGGAATACGTCTCTCACGCTCGAGTCGAGGGAGCTACTACTCGTAGTGAAAGCAAAATACCAATTCCAAGCCCGGCGCCGCAGAAACAAGATACGAGGGCATCATTCTCATCGCCATCACCTTCTCCATCACCATCACCGTCGCCAACGGGTAGATCGCTCAGTGCGCCACCCCGTCGGGCTACCCTGATCCTTTCGAACAATTTGGTGTTTAAACCGTCCGATGAGGAAGGAAGTTGCCCTTCAAACAAACAGAGTGAACGTCTGAGCGCTGTGGTAAAAAATGGCGCTTGCCATGGCCTGATTCAACCCCCGGGGAATGGTCGTCAATGGTCACCTGCGAGTGGCAGCGAGTACACGGTGGACGAAAGAACAGTGTCGTCACCAAGATCGGGAAGGAGCTGTCTCGGCGGCAGGGCTCCCCGACGAGAGGGGAAGCCGGGATGGAGACCAAGTCTCGTGGCCGGGGTCGATTCACCTCGGCCAGTGCGCACACCGCGGGTTTTGAAAACCGCTCGGGATTTCGCACAAACAATTCGACGGGTCTACAATGTGGGTGGACAAGGCACTTGCCCATTTCATGTAATAGGTTTAGTTCCCCGAGTTGTTTTTTTCTTTCGTTCACCTCATTCTTCGACGAGGATGTTACACCACCAACAACAAATGCACCACCATTGGCTTAAAGTTTGGGATATTGAAAAGTATCTCCCTCAGTAGCCCAGAAAGAAGTTATCACGGGTGTCACTCCTCTATTTTGAACGTGCTGAAATGCTGTCCATGTACCCAGTGAATTCTCCCGTTGGTCCTGCGCCAGAGCATTCGTTCTGCTCGCAATGATATCCTGGATGTGTCGGACAGGTTGACTTAAGCGGGGAAGAGGCGCGCTGTCTCTACCAGCAGCTCGACTCGGATCGTGACGGCGCTCTTGGAGCAGAAGACCTCCTGAGGGGAGCTTCCACCGTAGGTGCGGGGCTCCTTGATCTGAGTAAAGAGTACGTTCGACGAAGGCGCACGTGTTGGGACAGGCAGGCTGATACAGATATAGATGACGTATCTCCGAGGATGCGCGTAAGTATCTACCAAGGTGTGGATGCCTGAGGTATCCATGGTAAGAATGCAGACCCCCCATCCACCATTCCCTTTTGTCCAGCTTCATTCTTCGCGAACCGGCAGCGCATCAGCAAGGACAAGGCGGGTCGCCAAAGGGAGGGACAGAAAAGTACGCTAGCCAGGTAAGACCAAAGCAGAGAAAGCCGATACGCTAGAAACAATCCTAGTCCTGCCCACTAGGTGAAAAGACTGATTTTCCGGCCCCAGCACGAGTTGAAAAGGACAGCCAATATCAGGGACGATATGTCGTCCACTCGGGTGGCTTCCAACCTTGTACAGGCAAAGAATGCAGCTACAAAATACAACATATTTCCCGCGAAAAAGGCTCTAATATGTACATGGTGTAAAGCAAGGAGGTCTTTTGTTAATCTTGCCCCTAGCAGCTTCCCCGACGTGAACGCCTTTGACCCTCTCCGTGCCAACGTAGAGCACCGCTTTGGGTGTTTTTTGGGTCGTGGACAGCGGGGAAGACCGACAAAATTGCGCGTTACATTTCCGTTTCGTTTCTTGTTCATATTAAAAGGCTGGCCGAGAGGAATGCTACTCTACAGAATGACGAACCTATGAGTACGCAAATTCGAAGTCGCGGTGGTCGCTCTTCGGAATGGAGGCGAAACAATCATGTTGAATCAAGGTACCCATTTGGAGGCTGAGGCACAACACTGACAACATCTCTCCGGAAGGTGAGTTGCGCAGAATGATTCGTTTCATCGTCTCAAAGTCGACTATCGTCCCATTTGTCAAAGCGCCATACTTGGGCTCTCAGGGGAAGAAGCGTGCCGGTAATCATTGTTGTGGGTGTCGAATCTCAACCACCCTCTGCAAAGACGGTGAAACTTCCCCCTTACCCCATTGCCCCCCGCCACATTTCCCCCTATTTTTTCTCCCATAGGTATCGACCCCACGAAGCTGCCCCAAGAGGAGTTGTCCTTGATGGATACACCGAAGCACCTGGCGCCACTTGATTGTTGGTCCGTAAATACACCATCGTTTGGAACACTGGCGCGTATCCTAGTATAGTACTCCGACTGGGGTTGCGGGATGGCCTCGTCTGCGGCCCAAGCATGAAGGGAGAATGGACTTTGGGTCAAGTTCCGATGTAATTTTTTCGGACTGGTCATCATGCGTCGTCGAAAAATGACAGCGGGCAATATGAGTGTATCGTTTTGTTTTGGTCGGACTGCACAAGTCGCAATTTTTGAAGCACCTTCAAGCTGGGTATTTTTCCGTCCAAGGTGGTGAATAGGGTCTTAAAAAGGTTCCGTGGGTTGGAAAGTCCTTTCCTTCGCGGGCTTGCCTCTGCTGTGTAGTCCCTACGTACACCCGATTTCGGCAGCCCACAACCAGCAAGGGGCCCAAGTCGTGTCGAACCTGACCAACACGGTTCCCGACCATTCTTGAAGGTAGTGAGTGCCCTGTGCGGCAATGGTATTTACGGTGCCACAAAAGTTTTGTTGACCGCAGTAAATAAATGCGTCGAAAACATTTTGTGTTACCGCGGCTCTCAGCTGTCGCGCAACCCCTCCTTCGGCCCAAAGTGACCGGTGGTTGCTGAGGTATGGGCCAACACGATGTCACCACGTCGACGATGGTTTACAGTAGGACACCGCGAGAAACTCTTCGAAAACACCTCCAATGAGCATAAAAGTACCTGAGATGTGTTTCCACAGCCCCCAACTGTCAACTGTCACAAAAAGTCCTCGGTTGGCCCAAACCAACATACCATTATTTGGTATTCTGCTGAGATATGGCCCAACACGATGCCACGGTACCACTTGGGCGGTGTCGAAAACATTCTTGTCTGTGACACCGCGCGAACCTATTTGACAACGCCTCCAAATGGGCACGAAACCTGCTGACAGACCCCGTTGGCATCGGCGGCCGCCGCAGCTGCTGCGCAGGAGGAGTCAATATGCCAACGTAAGTGCGCCCACAGGCTTCCGGTGCAAGAACGCGATGCTCGCGTTCCAGTCGCGGACAACTGGTCGAAGAGCCGGCCTCGATGACACACCTTTCCTATGGCGAACAAATCGATAGCAATCGTAAATAAATATTGAAGCTTCCGATTTCGTGAAATCGCGCATGGGTCAATCGGTTGTAAGACCACTTTGGAACGGGGAGGGAAAAAGGCGGAAAGGAAAGGTTGCGGAAGGCGACAAGATAAAAACTCTTGGCCTGTTACAGTCAGTGCATGAGGTATCAATGCCAGGAACAGAAGGAAATAAACATTGTCACGCCCGTGTCCGTCGAGCCCTGATTTGCAACCGATCGATACCATTCAACAAAAGATTGTCACGTTGTCTTCGCAGTATGCTCATTTCTTCAACAGTGTCGTGTTACTGGAATTGGATAAGATTGATTTCAGACTCGCATTGGTTGCCTCGACGAGGAGGCCACTGCGAAGCCGACAGTGAAACAACTTTGGCTACGACGCCCCGTGCATTCTACTTCATTCTGATGTGATTCAACAAGAGAGACGTGTGTGGGAGTGGGGACTCGGTTTCAAAACGAGACGTAGGACACAGAGGTCGATCCCTACATATGAATGTCATGGGCAAGGAAACATTTCACATGTTGTTTCGACAATGAATTAAGCCTATTGCAACAGTCGTCTCTCATTTTTGATACGATTGATGGTGATCCAACGAGGGGGAGGAGAATACGGAATTCGGCAATCTTATGATTACATCGGCATCTGGGACACAGAAAGCCTTTGCTAGATGTGAAAGTCATGGACATGGAAGGAGTGAAGCTCATCACGAAAGTTAAGCCAGCGAACCCGATCGTTGGGGGATGGTTAGACTCGGTTTGACACCGGGAATTCAGACACAGGTTCCCTGGATATGAATGTTACGTTATTCACACATTTCTGACCCTCGTGACCACAGTTTTCCGAACAAATAATGGAACTACAACCCAAAAATGTTCCATCAATGAACGACGAATGAACTTCCTATTTCACGGCTGTGAACCAGATCTGTGGTGACGGCGCCCGGCAATATATTCTAATGCAAATGTGATCCAACGAGGGAGCATGTGCGCGGGAGTCGGGACTCGCGTAGACATCGGGATCTGGGGCACGGACAGCTAGATATGAATGTCATGGAAATGGACAAGTTGTGAAAAAAATCACGAAGGCTACGATAATGGTGAAAGCAATTGTTGGAGGTAGGCGGAACGCCGGACTTAGGACTCAGAATACCCTGGATGAAAAATTCGTGGGGAGATGGAGGAGTGAAGTTCGTGGTGCTCGATTCTTTAGAGTCTAGACTATTCCTTCAACGATCCATGCCATTGTCGTTGGGATGTAACACTAGACCTATGGTATTACATTAAATTTCCATTTATTCAACAGCGTCGTATTGCCGAAACCGCAGAGATCGGTCGCAGGCGCATGACGATGCCCTCAACGAGGAAGCCTCGACGCAGCTGACAGTCAAACAGATGTTTGACGACTACTCCCCGCAATGAATGCGATGCTTCTGATGTGATCCAACCAGTGTCTGAGTCGTGACGTGGGACACCGATCATCCTAGCGACAGGAAAGGAGGTTGGATAACCCTGCCTCACGCGCAACATTCAGCCCTGTTATCACGGGCTATGACGTTTGCGAGAGACGAGCAACCTTGTGGCGCGATACTTTGTCCATTCTGGATAGAGCCAAGCATTTGCATCGTCACAATGCCGACTTCAGCATAGCGCGACAACGGCATTTGTCACCACAGGATGGGCTTCCCAAAACGTTCGGAAGCCTCTCGGCGCTCTTTGTTACCTCCGATAAGCTTATTCTTGGCCTCCAATTCCACTCAGCCAACAGAAAGTAATTTACCCGCGTTTATTGTTTTCTACATAATTTACCAATTGCCTAGACTACGCACAAAGCGACACACATGTGGACAAGGGGTACCAACCCGGTGCATCCGTTTCTCCCCACCAAGACAAGAAAGGGTTCGTTCAGAAAACGATCACGACCTTCCACTAAACACACAGCAAAAACGTTGATTTGGGCAGTGAGTACCAAGCCCGATATCTCTCAAAGTTACGACACACAGCACACACCTTGCACCACGCTTTGGGGTGCATCTTTGCCTCCAGCCTGCGCGATAACGCTGGTTCTGAAACGACGTAGCACTTTGAAGCTATACTCAATATAATAAAAATACGTTCTCACGGAATTTCGCTTACTGGGAGTCCAGACAACGAAACCGAGAAAAGATCTCGTCCGCACGCGAAACCACAGAGAGCAACGGTATATCGTCCTACTCCACCGGACCTACTCGTGACTACGAGCTACCTGTACGCCTTTGCTCTCAACTGAAAATGCAAACAAACCGTCCAATATGCGAGCACGCTCGGTCGGTGGATCGGTTCCTCAAGGGACGAGTGAACCCCGAGCAAGCCATGGGCCCGAATACAAAAAGGCTGGGAAAACACAAATGTACACAGATACCTTACCAAACACACAATAGGTTGTGCTTCAACAAAAACGCCTGATACCTGGCCGAAGCGGACCCCTCCAATCCACACGAAGAAGCCTACACAAGCAACATTCAGCGCTGTAGGGAGGTCAGCAAGACAAACAAAAACCACCCGGCCGGGACATGAACGGCGCAACACAAAAACAACGCGGATGATCCCCGATCGTTCTCCAATACCTAGCCGCTGCAGAAGCGATATTCTCCGAAAACCTAGCGCGAACAGCTGTAACTTGGTATACCAGCAAGGCATGTAAAGAACAGGGCATACTTCGAAAACACACGTGGGCATCGCCCTCTGCATGAATCCAGGGTTCGATTGGCAGGCGTCCCCATCCGCACTGTCACGCCGTTCCCCGCAGAATAAAACGCGCTTTCTTGTAGGGGAACAACACTTTGGGTGTGGCCTCACTTCTCTTTGCAGCCCCTAAACGCGACGCTTAGCCCGGCTGCCAACAATACCTTTCGCTGGTTATTTGTTTTCGGATATCTCCAATCGTCCCGTCGCGAGCGTCTGTGTGACTACAAAAGGGCTGGCTCATCCTCCTTGCGCCTTCTCCTCCTGCCCTTGAGCCATTCGGGCACGAGCGTGGGGTCCACCTAGGCCGATCGTCGTTGGGGACGGGAAAGGGCAACGGAACAGCAAAACACACACCGTGAAACTAACAGCAAGACATGAGCAAAACTCCGCCCTCCACACAACAAAAAATCGATCGATGAGGTCGCCACTGCCCTCGAGAGTAAAAACACTCGGCCGGAAAAATCAAGAATGTTTCGCTTGCAGAAGATGGGGTCCTCTCTCTCTCACCCCGATGCCCCTGCTGAAGTAGTCCTCGAGATCCGCCTCTTCCATGCAGGCCTCAAGGCATTCGCGGTATTGGTTCAGCAGGTGCGGAGTCAAGCTCGCGAGCGGCTTGGCGCCGAAGGTTTGCTCCACCTAATGAACCCGACAACATTGACAAGATTGGCATTGGCATACTGTGTGCAGTACAGGCCCATCGCGGCTTTCGTCAACAAGAAAAACGCACGTGGTCATTGCTGGACACAGCAGAGCACTACCCATGACGAAAACGTTGACGCAGTGTCGACCGTTTGGTGGGCGGCAGCCGGAAACGTTGTTAGAAGATTATACAAACACCAGAGAGACCAGATCCGTTCCTCAATACCATGAGAGTGGCGAGAGGGTGTGTTTCAGTCACGCGAAGGGTCGAGTAGAACCCGCTGGACTGAAAAAAACGCTGGAATGGGTGTCCGGTTTATGTCGCGGGTGGCCACTCGCAGCCCGCGGTTGGGCAGTTGACAGTCAGCGGATCGATCGAATTCCTTGTTAGACTACTAGCACCAGGACACAACTACCGAGACGCAACCCGGATGACAATTTCACGTGAGCCTAGAGCATTTTGGGCGAACATTCCGAATACCGGTCATCATCCAAGGTATCAAGCGACATCATCAGCCCAGCAGGGAGGTAAGTGCGTGTTGCTGCCCGTCTGCATGGAATTCTCACCAGCGTTGGCGCCACGATGAAGTTGCCGTATCTTTCCGAGTCTACGACGACCTTGCAGCCTGCGGAGGGCACAAACGAAACGGTTCCAAAAAGGCGGAACGGCAGAGTGTGATGAGTTGGACCGAAACAGGCCGGACCGAGGACTAACCCAAAGAACAGTCTCACACGCGCGTGGGATGTCTCCTCGAAAAGCAACGCAGGGCGCTCGAGCGGTAGTTAAGGTAGTCCATGTAAGCCAGCAACGACCGCGAAGCTCGTGTGGAGACTTGTATGTGCAGCAGCACTCGCAACAAGGGCACACTATGCGAAAACCACACAAAAGCAGCCAGAGGTGAAAGGAGGGAAAGGTTCTCAGGCCCCGATCCCCCCCGGCCCGCACACATGTACCTGGTGGTTGCGGGAAGCAGAAAAAACGAGACCCGCTCAAGAGAGGCGACCAGTTCTAGGCGCTCGGGAAAAAACGAACGCCCCGTGTCACAGAATCTCTCGGTTAATCCTTGCGGGGATCGTTACATCCGGGTCAGTGATGTGCTTGTGGTCCATCATCTTGTGGACTTGGGATTGTGGGCTTTCCAGAAATCGGGACGCTCTCGGTGGCATGTAAGCTTGCATACGTATAAGAGCGGCAAACAGATAACCACGCCATGAAGTAGGGCTAGAGTAGGGTTACTCCTCTCGCGACCATTCCCGATAAGAACGTGCTCCCGAGCAACATAAAACACCTCCCGTTGATTTCTTCCATTATCAACGACTCGTTGCGCCAAGAGAAACGTAACGTTGCAGCACGCACATGAGAGATCAACGTCAACACAACCCCTTTCGTTTCCCGCCTCACGCAACAGTTCCCATCGGCATCTCTCATCTCGCCTGCATGCTTGTAGGTCCCGAAGAAGCGAGGCAGCGCCGTGATGAGGTCGCCGTCGTTGACGAGGCGGAAGTGGTGCTTCACCCTGCTGTCCAGCTTACGCGCAAACACCCCGTTGCCAACGCGAGGGGATCCAAACCTGTCGTCCGGTCCCAAAGATCACATGGAGGTCATGGGAAAGCCGCTCGAAGTGTATGTAGTCCTGGGGCTCCAAGTTGACTCGGTTTCACGAGAACGGTTTTTCATACATATTGGCTTGGTTTTAAGGCTGATAGTCAAAGCCGCTGGGGTCTAGGGTAGTGCTCGTGTTCAACTTGGTCTATCGTCGATGGATGGTTTAACGTCAACGTCATGCAACGGCCTTAAGTACACCCTCCCCCCCACCCTCGGGTGCTGTGTGGTGGCATCACAGGCGCGGGTAGCGGGAAGCGTTACACTCACGTGTAGAGCGTCATTGGGTCAGGCAGCGTGAAGTTCTTGTCGATGTCGTAGGCCGCCAGAGAGGCAAGCGCGCCGCCGAGGCTGTGCCCGGTCACGTACAGAGGCCGATAATCGTCCTGCGCGATTGATCGTTGGTGGCGACGGTGATGAGGCGGGTGGAGAACGGATTGAACAACCGATGCGAAAGCTTCCAATTTATCGCCAAAAAAGAACACTATGACAAATCAAGTGAATGAGTGCCCACCAGGGTAGAGCCCTCCCAACACCAAGGTCGAAATGTTGCTCACCGTCCAAATACCATGCTGCACCCGAACATGCTGAAGCGTTTTCTAGGCCGAAACGTAGGCGCTCTGTCCCCTGCTGCCTGTTGCGCAACCAACGCACCCAACGTTTCTCGAAAAGGCCCCATGGATGACTTCCGAGGCGCCTTTTGGTACCCTCCAGGTGCTTGAACCCCTCCCCCCCCCTCCCATTTCTCCCGACCACCCCTATAAACACGATTTCACACAACGCTAATGTAGCATCACATCTAACCACTCTCGGTCAACGACAACAAAAAACATCTNAACTCGGTAACCAGGTTACCGTTGTTTGTTTTTGCCTCTGCTTTTTTTTTTGGCGGTAACCATAATGGTGGTCGAGTAGATCATGTTGTGCGGGGTGGAGAAGCCTCACTCCGCGCAAGGGGGATGATCGCACAACGTTGTGTGAAAATGGTCGAGCACCCTCGAGGCAGTTACACAGTGCTTACAACTGTCTCTGGAAGTGAAAGCACCAGAAAATAAATTAATTCAAACGCAGCTGTCATCCGTACGCAAGGAAGTAAGCACAAGATGCCGAAAACCCTTAGCAGGATGCAGCGCACCCTTCATGCGACCCGCCGAATATCTCACGGCGCTTCGCGCTTGGTGAT